TATTGACGATGTCACCACCCGAGTGCAAAACATGTTTCGCCAACCGTTGGAGTGGCTTTGTTGTTAAATTGTCCTAAATGTTGTGAAATGACCCTGAAATGTTGATCAAATTCTATATTCCCCACATTCTAACGGGGATTTTTTTTTTTTTTTGTGCTCAGAATACCGCTTAGGATAAAGAAAGGGCTGAGGTCAGACGAGCAAGTTTTTCTTTTGTCCTCCACATTTTAGATGGGGAAACAATGTCGTTTTTGTTCAACTCTTGGGTCTGTTTACTTTAGTCCAAGGCTATTTTGGGGTTTCCGCTGAGCTGGATTGTCTTCGAAAGTAACAACAAAAATAAATATGTTTTTGAAACGCAAATATTTGAGTTTTCACAGAGTCAGCTCGATGAATTTCAAACCCAAAACGTTCAAAATGCAGCTTGAAATTCTCTTGCTTCCACTTGGTGTTAAAAACTGCATGATGGAAAATAAACCTGTTTGATCGAAATTATGGCTGGCTTTCGCTCTATTTGTCCACTAAAATATGTTGGAATTAAAAAAAAAAAAATCAAAACATTTGTATTCATTTAAAATGGGGTTAAATGGGTTAATTGATCATAGTTCATAATTGTGTTTTTTTTTTTCCATATATAAATTTACAGTCACTCACATGCAGTGAGTTTTTGTGCAACGCGTCCTGAAATAACCTTGCTTACGGATGCATTGAACTCGTGTTAAATGGTGGTTGTGGCCTTGTGGATTCGTGCACAAGGAAGTCAATCAAAAACAAAAAACAAAACAAACACCACTCAATTCCAAGTCACACAATGAGGAAAAAATTGGGGGTTATATGTTATACATCCATTTGGATCCCACACACTCAATCTTGTGAAACCTCACAAAAGAATAACTCCAAATTCGTACTTCTTGCTATTCTTTGGTCTGAGTGTGATCTATTTCCTGAGCGGGATTATATGTTTTTTTTTTTGATGCGATGGCCTCTTTCGGCACCAGGTTGGCTGAAAGAGTTTGTTTACAAGGCTGGAGGTGACGGTGGAGCATCCAGGCAGCTGCCTCTTCCTTCCCCACCGGCACCCGACTTGATCATTTGAGAGACTTGTGACGATGAGGTGTTAGCCAACCTCGCTGCGGATCTTTGGCGATGCCAAGTGGAAAGCAAAAGTCTGCAAATTGCGATGGCGATCATGTTATTGTGGAGCACAAATATTTTGTGACAACATAGGGTCCTCGTTGTTTTCCCCCCACGTAAAACAGCATCACTTAAATCCACGGATGAGTAAATACCGTAGATCACATTATCAGTCCAGTCATATGGGGATATCCACTTTGCAAGATTTATCTTGGGAACCATTCAAACAGCAGGCCACTGCGCCACATTTGAGAGCCGCATAAATTCCCCCATGAGCAAGTGCTTGGCAACATTAGTGATGGGGGGGCGAAAAAAAGAACCTCCCTTTTTCAAATAGGTCGCAGCTTTTGAGCAGAACCAAACTCGCACATCTGTCTTAATTAACCGTCTTTAATGTTAGCGAGAGTCACCGATTCAACCACGCCTTGCGGAAACTAATACGCCTGATGTCTCAATGAAGCCTGCGGCTCGAAGCTGCGAATAAATGAAGAAGAAATGAATGTAGCGCCGGCTAGTGCAGCGGACAGATGACAACGGGCCACCACTCCCTGGAGGCTCTGCGTCATATGTTGACGATCTCCGAGCAATTTGTTTGGGTGCCGAGTAAGCCCTTTGAGGGGGATGCCGGTGGCATCACCGTAACACTCTTGCTTTGTGTCCACAATCTTGGCTGGTCTGGTTTGGTTTGTAGGCGCGATGACAATGGCTGTGGCAGCTACATAAAAAAATAAAATACAGGACCTTGGTAGGTTGTAGGTTTTTGGGTTTTTTTTTAAGCCACTTTTATAAAACATCATGGGGTGGCACGGTGTTAAGCGCATCTGCCTCACAGTTCAGAGGTCCCGGATTCGAGTCCGGGCTCTGGATTCCCTGTTTGGTTGAACACAGATAATGAATAAATGAGGAAGTAAATAACACAAATACGTCATTTTTTTTTTTTATAGCCCCTTGGCCGCCACTCCCTATACATTTAAATGCTATGAGAAATCATAAAAGGTCAACCGATGAAATCACCGCTGGAACTCTTGCTTTTCTGTGCGTCGACGAAAACTGCGCCCAAAAAAGATTTATTGATTTTCAGCCACATAAAATTATCGATAAAATAGGATTGCATTAAACCTAAATTGTCCCTGCTGGACGTGCCACGCAAGACAAATACACTTTGGTGTTGACATTCAGACGGCAATATTTACAGCCGTGAGACAACACAACCACCAAAAGGCTCCGAAAAGCGGACGGAGGTGCGTAACGTCTGCCCTTCATCCCCTCTGGCCCGCAGCTTCCATCATGCCATGAACTGGCACGCTCGGGGAACATGATTACATCGCCGGTTATTTTCGTCGGCCATCTGAGTCACCCACTTTTTTTCACTGTTTTGGAATACATTTTTAGACAAGTGAATACCTGCAAAGAACATTGGGGGGGGGGAAAAATAACTAGTAAAAAATAGCTGGCCAAACGGCTTGGTGCTGGAGTTGAGGTCCATATATAGCAACTGTTTTGTAATTTGTGTGTCTGCCTGAACCACACAGCACCCTGAGGTACACCTGTGAGGCCACCTGGGGAAGCTAGCCGGCCCAAACAGGTTGAATTGCGTCTCTCTGTTTTTGTAGACATTAGCAAAATATTCACTCATTTGAGGTCATTTGGAAATCACCCAAATTTGTTTCCCCGAGTCCTAAAATGCCGTCGCATGTCTCCACACGCTCTTCTTTTTGTATTTTCCGCCTCCCCTTTTCGCCATTATAATCCTTGTAATACTCTCCTAATAAAATTGAGTAAATTCAACACGGCATTTTTTTTCTGTGTGGAGACCAGTTCAGGGTGTACCCCGCCTCCCGCCCCAGGGTAGTTAGGATTGGCTCTTGCACTTCAGCCAGAGAATCCCAGGCAGCCACAGTGATAAACGTTTGCCTGTGATCCAACAGCGCAACTCTGCAGGATGACTGCGAGGTGGCAAAGAGGCTACCAAGCGCTGAACCCTGAGGCGGCTTTGAAGGCCAGACGAGGCGGTGGGCGCAGCGGGACGGCCAGACTGTTTGCAAGGAAAAAGCAGGAACGGAAACGTCTGAGGAACACACTCGAAACTGACCGCACCGCTCCGAATCTGGCGAGTTGACTGTGTGGGTGCAGGCTGCGGCTTGTTGCGGGAGACCAGGTATGAGGTCTTGAGAAGGTGCTTGGAATCACTCACCAGTTTTAAGGAGCGTCGTCGGCCTCACAGTGCAGAGGTGCTGGGTTCGATTCCGGCTCGGGCCTTCCTTTGCATGTTCTCCCTGCGCCTGTGTGGGTTTTCACCGGGTACTCCGGTTTCCTCCCACATTCCAAAAACGGCCATGGCATGTTCATGAAACACTCGAAATTGTCCTGAGTTAAGTGAGAATGGTTGTTTGTCTCTGTGTGCCCTGCGATTGGCTGGCAACCAGTTCAGGGTGCCCCCCGCCTACTGCCCCAAGACGGCTGGGATAGCCTCCGGCACGCCCACGATCCCCGTGAGGAGAAGCGGATTAGAAAAGTAGATGAATGGATATTAGAATCATCGTCATCATAATAATATATGCAAAATAGTCATATTTTGTATTATTTCGCAGAGTTAGTTTCAACAATGGCTGGATTTTCTTCTGAAACATCATAGCTGGTACACACACATATTCTCACGAGCACACAAAAAAGGGCCTGGAGGTGGACAGAGTGAGAAAGGAGAAAATAGAGAAGTTTGTTTGGATCTCTTGATTCCAAAATATTGTCAATGTAAATAAAAAATACGTTGAGCAGTAGATGCGTTTCATGTGGAATTAATGCAAAGTTTCATTGGAGCGATTCCCTGAGCCGTTGCACATTCCCCCTTGGAGCTGTTGAAATTGGACATTTCGTATTTTCAATGTGCAATGATCTGCTCTGCGGTTCTAGAGTCAACAACAGCCCTCCTCCAACACACACACTCACAGAGTCACTCACTCAAGCGTTCCAGACACAACATTATGCGCAGTCTCTGCCAATCAGATCCCATCTCCTCCCCCTCTTCAAGTCTGCAGCCTTTATCTCCCTCCTAATGTTGATCTGAGTGCCGGCGTCTCGCTGCTTCCTGGCACGGACTGGCCTCTCATTCTCGTTTGTTTAGCGATTCTGCCTGAGCCAAAAGTGAATTGGCGTTACATAACTTTCAGATATACACCATAATCTTCCTCCTGCATCGGCCTCAGTGTAATTGGGCCATTGAGACATTGGTGGACTTGGCTGCCAAGCCACCACATGAGCGCTTTTACACCTCAGACATGTTCACAAATATTCTTTCTTTTTTTCAAAATAAGGTCTTGTTATGTTTGCACCTTAGAGCTTTGCTTTCTATTGACCATCACAGACATCAGCGCCCATAGGAGAACACATCTTCCTTTCACGAATGTAAAGGAACATTTCCAACACACCTCCACCCCCCACGAGCAAATCGCTAGCGGCTTGCACTCTGAATCACACCACCATCAAGAATTGCTGCCCATGCCTGACCACATCTGAATTACGGGGCCTAAAATTGGAGTGCATCCACTGACGGGCTGGAGAGACGGATGGTGGTGAGTGTGTTTCATATAATTTGCTGTCGTGCTGTCAAATGGCAGCGAATATTATCGTGTACCTGCTATGTGCCAGGTTGAGTGTCCCTGTGCCAGCTTTCATTCAGCCTGCTTCTGTTTTTTTCTTCACCCCGTGCGTGTTTTTCTTGCCTTCTCAGCTCTACTGGTGAATCATGGGAGTTGGGGAGAGAGTGAGCTAATACTCTGGTCTGATTCAATGATGGGGGGGTTGGGAGGGTTGATACATAAGAGAAGGGAGGAGAGAGGGCAATTGGGGAGGGAGTCGGTGGGTGAAATGAAAGGGTGGAGGGAGGAGAGGTAAGTATAAAAGACTTGCGCTGAGGAATTAGGAAATATTGCTCAGGAAAAATAGACTGACTGATATTACCAACACTTCTCACTTCAACCTTAACTGAAGGTGAGTACATGATGGAATCCAATTTCTTTTTTAATTGAGTAACACTGACGTGTGGCGTTTTTGTTGCTGTTCTGGCATTTATGTGTTTGTTTTTATTTTCTTTGTTGTACAAAGGAAAATTAAGTACATATTTTAAATACTACATTTTTGATACACGCTTTGCAATAGTGCGAAATATTGACCTGAATATTCTCACCTCACACAAAGTGGTCTTTCTCGTGCAAGCAACTTTTTGTCCATGGAGGTGTTCACATTCTACCTGCAAGGGGGCTCGTGGACCATCAACACGCCTGGGAAGAATTAAATGACTATTCCATTCTGCCGACGCTGTTGTCAGCAATTCCACACACACACACACACACACGGCTTCTTTTGAACTTTGGCCTGCAGACTCGCTGCCTCTGTGCCCGCTGCTGTGGGTTTTTAAGTGGGGCCAACATACGCCTGAGGCCTTGGTGTTATAAACATCCTGAGAGTGTGTAAGCATGTGTCAGAGTGTCCCGTGGGTGGCTGGGTGTGCTCACCGGAGAATGAAAGCATCTATTGACGGTGAAAAAGGGGAGGCAGCGGGAAGTGAATCCTACCCAAATCCCACAAGCAGAAAGGGGGGGGGGGGTGTGGAGGTGATGAAAGCTCCTCTGCAGAGCAGGCGTGCAAAGACTGCACGTGTGCACGCGAGTCAATGTGAAAAAGTGTTCAGAGCAACAGGTAATTCTGTTGCTGCAGGCGCTGCACATTCTCCAGTGGATCTTTGACGCTTGCGCATGTGCCAATCCTGCGCCTGCGTGCATGCACGCTGCTTTATAGCAGTCGTCTATTCCTCCTCCTGCGTTAAACACCGAGTGCTCTTTTATGGCTCTTCCTCCCAAATAGAAATTTGAACGGCAGAGCCCTTCTTGTGGATTGGCTCTGCCTTTTGAGGGTTTTCAGACTGGTTTTATAAATACAACTTAAGTTATATTTGTCACGTTTAGACATTTATACTGCGTGGGAAAGAAGTTTATATATGATCCACTGCCATATTTATATATCAGGCTCTTAATTATTTTATGCAGGCACATATGTTAGAGGAACTCTCTCAGGTCATATCAAGTCAACTACAGCTTGTGGTTGAGGAGAGAAAAAAAACATGTCAATAAGCTCTTTATATTAGATTCTTACCAATGGCAAAGATATGGAGCCCATCAATAATTTTTTTCTTATGTTCCAGGTAACGACAGAGACCCAAAGATGAAGAGCCTTCTTCAATTCCTTGCACTCTGTGCTGTGCTCTCACTGTGTGTCTCCCTCGGCAGAGGAAGAGCTACCCGGTCAAATTCAGGTGCGCTACCCTACGGGGGTCCCCTTCCCCGCGACTGTGTATCCATTTGTGACGATTAACCTTCTTCCATGTGTTTCCCCGTAGACTCCAATGAAAGCACAGAATCCAGTGAAGGTAAATCAAGATTCAGTCTGTCCCGTTCCCTAAAATCAAGGCTCCAAGGCCCCGCCTTAAGTTCGCGTTCCAAATCAGTCAGGCGAAATAAAACTCAAGAGTTACTTGAAATGATCAGTGGGCCGTTGTCTGGCTTGCGCCAAGTGGGTGTTTTTGTGAACTGAAAAACGTTGTGGTTTCAGATGTGTTTGTGGCCCCGAGGCGAGCCAACTCCTTCATCACGCCACAGAGACACGCCGTATACAACCTTCCCCGAGGAAACGGCTACAACAATTACTTTTTGAGGTAAAATGCGCATCCATGCACGTTTCTGCATCTTCCAAGGCGAACGCTTACACGACACAAAATAAGATCAAAGGCCATAATTTGAGAAATGCCAAAACGGACCATTCTTTCTCCTCTCCAAACTCAGTCGGCGGGTCAAGTCTCCAGCAGAGAGACGTGCTGAGACCTGCGAGGATTACTCTCCCTGCCGCTTCTTCGCCTATCGCAACGGCTACCAGGTGGCCTACCGGAGATACTTTGGGACCGCCACTCCACAGAGGAGACCATCTGCAGCTCGTCGATATTAAATATCCGCATATATGCTTGCAACGGACACACTTCACCAACGGGGACGTATTATGGCAGTCTACGACTTAAGTTATAACGGTGGCCTCTTCTGGATGTGATTGTTTTTTTCCAAAAATGATCAACCTACATGACAACCCCTCATTATTAACATACATATTCATGCTCCGTCATTTGTATCAGCACGGGATAACTGTTTTATCCAACGATCACATCTTCCAATCATTTATAAGCTATGTATGTTTTGTTTTCTCCCTATATGTTAACCATTTGCCCCTCGAACCACACTTTGTTATGATTCACCCGCAGCTCTGCTGTCAGTGTGAAAATAAAAAATATTTTATTTTGGGTTTGTCTTCCTGCTCTTGTTGCCTTTTCGTTGGGAGTGTTTGCAAAGCACGGCAGATGTTCAAATCTTCTTTATGGAGGCTGTTTGCAATGAATCGGGGGATTCCACGCACCTTATAAAAAGCCAGAGCTTTACTGCCGCAGGCTATTGCTCGAACGCACTGCCACACGGCAGATTTTAAAGCCTAAAAAGCTTTAATGATTTCGTATGCTGTGCTCCCGCATGCCCACAAATGACCCAATCAACATGTCCCAAAATGGAACTGAGAGTCCGTTGAAGTCATTCACCAAAATACGGCCGAGGCCCAAAATTGACCCAGACGGTGAAATTACATCCCACGCGATTCCAGCTTGAGATTTTTTTGAACGATTATACAGTAAATAGTCATGGTAGTAATACTAGAAAATAGTAATACAGTGTACGTCACGTTGCAGCTCAGTATCAACATGAACAATAATGGACTTCTTGCTACAGGCATCTCTTATCTTTTATTGTTTGGCCAAATCATGTGTTATTATAAGTTACAAAATGAAACAATCGTGCAAGAAATTGGGTTTTACACATGTCCGATTCCCCTTATGTACAGTATGGCACGTGACAGGGTGTAGAGTCCGCCTGATATCGCCAGGCTGCTCTCGGGCATCACCACACTGACACGTTGTCATACTCGACATTGAAATTCGACACAAATCCTGCAGCAAAGTTTCATTCTAACTCTGCAACAATCTCACAAGAATAACAATCACTCAAAAGAAGCAGAAATAAGATAGATATTGTTTTTTACAAAAACTAATATCAGTAGGTGAGCCAGTTTGATTTCACATCAGCTTGAATTTAGATCAGCTTTTGAAAGGCTTTTAAGAGTTAATGTGAGAGTTAATCTTTTTTCTACTTGGAGTTTTTATGTGTGTGTGTGTGTGTGTGTGTGTGTGTGTGTGTGATACATGATTCCCTAACCAATCATATCGAGAGAGCCACGTCTATAAATCTGAGTTGGTATATACATTTGCAGAGAGAAGAACAACAGAGCCGTTGCGATCTCCAAGCCCCGTCGTTGCCTGACACTCAAGATGAAGACTTTGGCCATCCTGCTTTTTGCCTCTCTGGCTGTTGCCTGTCTGTCTTCAGGTAAGAAATCCAAACAAATATTGCCTTGCTGTTCAATTATATAGCTGAGGAAAGTCTTATGATTGATATTATTGAAACATTTTTGTTTAAAAAAATTAAAAAAAATCTGCATTGATTCAAGGCCAAGCATATCACTATCATGATCCTTTGTTTTGTTTTTTTTAATCTCTTGCTCCCTACTTGGTTTCTTATTTATTTTTTGACTTGCCTGACTTTTGTTCTCATCTCATATTTTGCAGACTCCATGGATTCCAACGGTGACGACCGAGATGATGACCGTCATGACCGCGATGACCACCGCCGCAACTACAACGACCGCTACAACGACAACGGCCGCAACGGCGACCGCCGACACAACGGCCGTTACAACAACGACCGCCACGACAACGGCGACCGCTACAACGGCGACCGCTCCAACGGTGACCGCAACGGCGACCGCTACGACGACCGCTACAACGGCGACCGCTCCAACGGCGACCGCTCCGACAACGGTGACCGCTACAACAACAATGGCGACCGCTACAACAATCAGCGCCATCCGGGTAAGGTCACGAGTTCACATTTTAGCACCTCAGCTACTTAATGACATATTTGTGTCTACGAATCTAACATTGTGCTCACGGTGTTTTCTCGGCAAATGACAACAGATAACATTTTGTTTTATGACCCCATAAAATGAACATAACGATACTGTTCTCCTTTAATTAATGTATGCTACTATGATTTAGTTTGTTTGATCAGTCGGGTCGGATGTCTTGGTCATTTTTTACCAAGTAGACAAAGAAGTAAAGTTGTGTTTCAATGTGCTTGGTGTGCCGCAGTGTTTGTGGATAGGTCACAGGCCGCTGCAGTGGTGCCGCCCAGGAGAGCAACTGTCGAGCTGTCCTTGACCCAGGTGGAGAGGTATGGTACTTGCGAGCCACCGACCAACATTGGTGGTGGAGAAAAGTCACACATAATCACCTCCAGTAGCTTTTATGAATGTCTTTGGTCGATACTATGTGGACTAGCATATCTCTTCCATGTCTTCAATCAGCTTGAGAGAAGTCTGCGAGTCCAACGTGGCTTGCGACCACATGATGGACACCGATGGAGTCGTCGCTGCTTACAACGCCTACTACGGACCCGTTCCTTTTTAGACGCCAAATCACAACAGTCGACTCCTTGTCATGGCATAAATGGCTTGATGTTGCATTTTATTATCACCTGCCTCTTTCAAGTTAACCCCCTTTTCTATCTAAATAACACGAGAAAACAATTCCAAAAGTGTTTTGACCAAAAAAATGTGAGAGCAGTGCTGGAGGAGTAGCACCGATATATGAATTTAATTTTCAATTCTGTACAGACCGGCCGGCCCATTTGTCTCTATGATTCGATCACCTCTTTCAGCCTGTAGAGTAGTGTGATGAATAAGTAAAAATAATGAAAATAAATGTGTGTGTTGTGTCATTATTCCTCATGTGATAAAGTTTACATATTATAGAAATATACGTATGTGGATGCCAATGTAACTTCACATTATTTATATTATTTTTATCAAATATTACCCCCCCCCAATTCCGATCGCCTTCCAAATGGAAGACGTGCTGTAATTTTATGGCTTACAGTACAGTTTAAAGTGATTTACATTCATTGATATAGCCTAACCTTCAGTTGGACTATGTAGTTTGATATTCCTGTGTAAAGTCTTACCGTAACACTTACAGTATACAGTATCATGCGATATAGTCATCCATCTTATCTCAGGCTGGGTGGGATCACACCCTGGACTGGTCAGCAGACAATCGCAGGGCCCATATAGACAAACAGCCATTCACACTCACGTTCACTCCGGTGAGCAGTTTAGAGTCTTTGATGAACCTTCCATGCATGGTTTTTGGCATGGAGGTGCAAGCTGGCGTAAGTGCAGGAGAACATGCAAACTCCACACATGAGGGCCTAACCACGAGGCCACAATGTGGTCCCATTGCATATAACTGTATTGCTTGCCGTATATAACTTTGCTTTCATTTGCTTATGGAATAATCTGCAGCCACAAGATGTCAACAATGAGATATTTCCATTTCGACATATGTTTGGCTTAGTTTACCAATCCCAAATATCTCATAGTCTGCAGGAATCTCCCAATTGCTGGAGTGAGAAGGCTTCTTGAAAACTCAGTTTTCTGACACCCTGAAGACAGCAAAATCCTAATCCAGTCTATAGACGAAGCAATCCAGTAAATATCTTTTTTTAAAGTGGGCTGGTGGTGTAGGAACACCTTTGACCATTAGCCTACGCCAGTTTATCACCAACGTGTGCTTAATTTTTGTTTATTAGTGTCATTGGATATATGTAGGTCAGCAGGTTTTCTGCGAACCAAAACTGGTTCGTGGCAATAAAAAATAATATTGTAGTTTTATGTATGTATTTATACAAACAGTAGAAGACGGTGAAATGTCGCCCTCTGCTGAGTACTTTTTTTCACGTTCCTCAATCCATGGAGCATTTTGTAGGGGTAAAAATTGTTCTTTTATCCGTTGAAAGAAAATGTACATTTTGGTACAGGCTGTTTGCCAGTGTTAAAATAATAAAGCAATTTTGAAAGAAATATGAAATACACTCTTTATTTGCTTGAGTGGGACACGTCATGGTAAAAGAATAATCTTGTTGAATTCAACATCAAGATCAAAACGACAATATAGTTTAATTTACGCCAAAAGAGAGTCGGCGTTTATTTTATTTTATTTTATTTTATTTTTAGTGTATTAATAACGCGATGTTTATTTTCTCAGACACAACGCTTTGGTTCCCACCGCTGTCTTGACGTCATATGATCGACTTCCGGTCTTGCTCGCGGCTGAGAGTGCTAACATGGCGAGCTAAAATGGTTGTGTTCCATTCAGTCACGAGGGCTCTAAGTTTCTTTTATGTGGCTTGAGCAAAATACCGCGTTTGAACCTTGATACACGAAGTCGTCTGTGTAGGGCAAAACTGCTACTACTAGTTTTCTTCTTTCTAAGGTAAATTCTGTGCATTCTCTGTTGTTGAAGCTAACGCGGCCCTAGCTAGAAGTGCAGGCTAATATTAGCTCTTAGGCTAATTCCCAGCATCGTATGAGTGCGATGAGTTTTTAAATTAAAACAGCCTGCATATGCTCTGTTTCCGATTAATTTTAGCGCATTGTGCTTCACAGATCGTGCTAAAATGTTCACTCGTCGGTTGATCGCGAAGTTTGTGAAACAGTACACTTCAATGTGTACAATCTTAATGCTCTGTCTATTACTATATTAATTTGTGAATGTACCTCCATGGGATTTGTGATCTAGTGCTGTAGGAAACATATGTGGTTTAAGTGCATATAGATGGAAGCTAGTAGTTTCATATGTCACCCCTGACGGATTTCAATGCCTCCTAAGGTAAAAGGAGCACAGCATCACAATGGGGCGACGTTCAACTTCCTCCACCAAGAGTGGGAAATTCATGAACCCCACGGATCAGGCCAGTAAGTACTTCCCAGCAGAATCTATTTTTGTAAATAAACCAGCTGTTTGTTGTGACTAGATTATCATAATAATGAACACGTACCACTCCCCCCTCCTCCCTTTTTTCCACAAACAGGAAAAGAAGCCAGGAAAAGGGAGTTAAAAAAGGTAATATTATATTTATTGTATTTTTAAATCATTTGGAAGGCAATTCTCTTACCATATGCCCGTCTTATTATTCATTTTATTTGTAGAATAAAAAGCAGAGAATGATGGTGAGAGCAGCGGTGCTTAAGATGAAGGACCCCAGACAGATAATCAGAGACATGGAGAAATTGGATGAGATGGGTGAGAGACTTTTTTTGTACTATTAATATTGCTTAGCTCTTGTCTCGTGTGGTTCTTTATGGTTCTTGCACATTCACTGTGGTCTAACTCCAAAACTCATTCGAAACTTAAGGTGTTATTTGATCTCTGCAATAGAGTTCAACCCAGTCCAGCAGCCCTTGCTGAATGAGAAAGTGCTGAGGGACAAGCGGAAGAAGCTACGGGAGACATTTGAACGCATTGTTCGTCTGTATGAGCGGGAGAATCCTGAAACCTACAAGGATCTGCGCAAATTGGAACTAGAATATGAGAGTAAACGGGGACAGCTGGCACTCTATTTTGATTCAGTCAAGGTTTGTATATTTATTTTATTTTTTTACCTTTGAATGAGATGATGCTTTACCTCTACTTGGTCAAACATGCAATGAGCAGCATGTTTTATTTTCTAGTTGTCAAACTTCATAGGAGTGACATTAAAAGTGTCAATTAAGGCCATGTTATGTTTTTGTTTACAGCAACACTGTTAATGTTTTCTTTCCTTTCAGAATGCAGAATCTGTGGAGGTTGACAGTATTCCTTTACCAGATATGCCACACGCACCATCCAATATCCACATTCAGGACATCCCTCTCCCAGGGGCTCAGCCTCCTTCAATCCTGAAGAAGGGCTCCTTTTTTGGGTAGGCTCTAATCTTTAATCTTTGATTTGGTAATCTTGTACATAACCACTGAATTTGTCCAGAAACCCACATTTTCTTGAGAAAAAAAAAGATTGATTAAGAATTAAAAACTTGCTTATGGACATCGGCACCCTGAACCAACTGATCAAGATTGTTGAAATGCCACCATTCATTGATGTGTGTCCCACAGTAAAGCACCTTTACCGCCTGGCCTAATGTTGCCAACATTGCCCCCTGTGCCACGTTTACCCCCTGGGAGGAAACCCCCCGGGCCTCCACCTGGGCCCCCACCACCACAAGTTTTGGCACTGTATGGTATTCCTTCACGGCGGCCTTACGGCACTGAATTTGGTAAGACATAACTCATCACTTTGTCTTCATAAATGGCTTTTTTTAAAAACATTTTGGGTAATGGATGTTTAGTTTGTTTTACTAACTAGAATGTTCTTTTTAATTTTTTGTTTTTCTGCCTGAATAGAACCCTCAATTCCTGGCTTAGAGAAGGAGTCAGCAGACTTGGGAAGAAATCAGGACAGTGGCAGTGGGAGCGACAGGGATGATTTGGACGATGATGACAGTGACTCTGAGGAAGACAGTGACGATGAGAGGGATGAAGATGGCGACTCGAGAAAGGGAGACAGACATGAGAAGAGAGCTGAGGATAAAGGTGAAAGGCTGTTGAGAGTTTCCATTTTTTTAGTTGATTGTAACTGCTTGATTAGATATACAGTAATCCCTCGTTTTTCACAGCTAATGGGGACCGGAAAAACATGGTAATGGTAGCAATATGATATTCATCTTGTCATCTTATTAGTTGAAATAGGTTTACGATTTCTTTATTATTATTAATTTTTTTTTTTTTTCAGCCAATGGTCTTTTTTTGTGAGGAAAACAACTCTTACCTTGCTGCAGTATTTTGGGAAAACCCGCGACTCAGTGAGGCTGTGAAGCACCAAGTGGCGAGGGATTCCTGTATGCCATTAAATGTAAAGTCTACCAATAACGGTTGTCAGTTCTGCTGGAGTTATCAAAACGAAATTCACTTTGCCTGAAATAATTAAGTCTTGTAGAATATTTCTTTTTCTGGGTGATTTGCAACGGTTTGTAGTAAGTTTGTGCCCTGATACTAAAATGTTATATTGACTTTCTACTGAAAATTAGGTCGCAGTGTACGCTTTGCAGACATGCCTTCAGATGCATCCCATGATGGAACGAAAAAGAAAAAGAAGTCTGGGAAGAAGACCAAGGCCATCACGCCTCTGCAGGCGATGATGTTAAGGATGGCAGGTTTGTATATTGAACACGTGCGGATGTTCTTTCCTCAGCCTTAGTTAGCTCTGTAAATAATGTGACCTGGAGATATTCTCTCCTTTCAGGTCAGTCTATTCCTGAAGAGGACGAAGAAGAAGTCGAGGAAGAGTACAGCGATGAATCGGATAGTTCTGACGACGCTGAAGACAAGGAGTCAGCGGGGGACCCGTCCCAACTGATTGCCAGTCAGCATCTCCCCCCTCCAAGTGGGCCGGTGGGACAGCCCCCACCCTTGCAGGGTCCACTTATGACTGGGCCTCCACCGATGGGTCCTCCACCAGCTCCACCGATGAGGCCTCCCGGGCCACCCTCTGGTCCACCTCCTGGCCCTCCACCAGGTCAGATTAGGATCCCGTTACTTTTCGTCTCTGCTTGTCTGCCCCGGACCCACTGCAGTCAACAGAGCAAACGCGAACCAATGTCCTATCATTACTCTTAATTAGTAGAGAGAACCAAATCTTGAGTAAATGCATCTTTCACCATGTATCAACAGCTGTGCCTTAGCACAAACATTATCCAGAACGTAAAAAATACACTGCAACGCTTTGCTATTTAGCTTTTGCTTGAAATCTTGTCCTAGCTCATTAGCAATCATAATTTTTATTGACATGCCTCTTGTTTTCAGGTGCTCCTCCATTCTTAAGGCCATTGGGTATTCCTGGCATGAGGGGTCCGATACCTCGACTTCTACCGCCTGGCCCGCCACCGGGTCGTCCACCTGGCCCACCACCTGGTCCCCCCCCTGGTCTTCCTCCAGGCCCCCCACCCCGCCGCC